AGTTATATTTATGGCTTGTGATGGATTACGTAACGTATAATTCTCACTATATTGTTGCATTTTTCTACGTACATCTAGAAAAATTTGAATGATGGAAAAGAAAAGTCTCAGTCAAATTTTAGAGTCAATTCTTTTCTCAAGAAGATATTAACTGCCAAAAAAAAGAGAATTACTCAAGAAAACCTTGACATGTAGTTCTTAAAACTCAATTCGGCGAGAAAGACAATTTTACATAATAATAATAGTCGAATAGTTGTTTTTAAATCTAAAAGCGTTGCATATATGTATATTATTTTAAAACATGAAAAATAATTGGAAAAACTGCAACCCGCATAGGATATAGAAAATAAATGTAAGAAAGAGAATGTTTTGGATGCAATACGTATACTATATTAATGAAAGAAAAACACCCAAGGTTTAATACAATTAACATTGTAAATATATAACAATATTTTATTATATTTTCTAATTTTATTTGCATTACTGTATTCAGTTAGTTAATTTTAGCGACGAATTCTTAATCTGTATTCAGTTAAAGTTACTTGATATTCATCGACAAATTTGTTGTATGATTTATTAGTACTTCTTAAGCTGAATTCGCAAAGAGCTTTTTGCTCCCAATAAATCATAGTTCGAAAATCTTAATAATACCCATATTTCGGCTAATTAAAACTAATCTTAAGATAAATAATAACAGTGCCCATATTCCGTTAATTTAAAAATATGTCTTTGAAAAACATTTATTATAGTTATGAAATAGACATCGAGAAACCCCGTCTGCTAAAGTTTTAGCGCCGTAACTTATTTTTCTTCTCTTCCCAGTCCCATCTTTCTTTTCCTTTATGGAAGACGTTCATTTGCGAGTTTTTATCGATATTTAGATAATTGTACTTTCCGCGTAGTGAATCAGTCACCGGTAACCACATATTTGTAACAGGCGTTGGATTTCTAAATCAGATTAAAAATTACTTATTATTATGTGATTAATAAACTTGAAATATCGTGATTAAAAAGATATGTCTAAAGTTTGAAAAGGAGAAATTAAATTTCACATATACCCTGTTTTAGCAAAATCCGTCCACATTTGCGTTAAGCAGTTTATTATTTTATAGTCTTCCGAATCAACTGCAGGTGGTGGCATACCGAGATCTTTCATCACATTAAAATAAAACAAGTATGCCAATTCCTCGCCATGAGACACACCTATAAAATATTTTGTCATTCAACTATCAATTAAACTGATAAATTAATCTTTTTGAAACTTAAAAAGACAATTTATTTTCTAAATTAAATACTATAAAACAGAATTAATTTTGTATTTTTAAAATCATATACAATAATATATGTAGAATTATTTTATGTTGCTGTTTTGATATTAGCGTTTTCATACAAAAAGATCGATTTTGCTGGAAAATCTAAAAATTTTCCTGGATACAGATTTGAAAATAATTTTTATTGTACCATCAAAATAATTTTGTTGGAAAGTCAAACTGATTGCTAGAATATCATAATGTATTACAGTAATGCTTATTATTTTTGAGTTTCCAACAAAATTATTTTCAGAACAAATATTTTTTTTGGTTTCTCAGCAAAATTGTTCTTTCCGTGTATAAAATTAGAAATGAATTTTTAGAATCTTAATTTATTTAGTGATAATACCTGGAATGTGAATATCTAATATTTTTCTCAACGGAGACGTTTCGCTTTCATACGAATATTGATACAGATATGTTGCTTTCTTATCATTTTTCAACTTTGTCTGAATATCCACTACTTCCATTATACCACGAGTGAAATATTCATCGCTAATAAAATCAACACAATTTATTAGTGTTTCCTCTGACACTGCTTTGTCACCAAAATACAAAGAGCGCAATTCTTCGACTGTAATTGGCAGTGTAGATAATGTTCTAGGTAATATGATGCTCTTGAAATCGGAATCAACTTTTTTAAGCTGCTCTTTAGTTATGTCTGAAATAATTTTAAAAACATTTAAATATTGTTCGTTATACATTGTCGCATGTTTAATAAATAATGAATTAGTTAATAAACTTGTTTTTCAAACTAAGTACATTTGTCAAAACATTTAAAAATATTTAAAATATTTAAAATATGGTTGAAAAGAATTCTTCGTGTAGTATGTATAATAGATACTTTAGTATTAAATTACGTTTGTCTCAACACATTATACGATAAACTTAAATAATTATATAAAAGTAAATAAGTATATAAAATGGATAATAAAAGTAACGTCAATTTAGAACAAAAATGTTTTGCTCTGGTGTATAATTACGATTTTTACATATTCATACGAAAATCATGGTTTAATACAATTTACTAATTTTATGTAGACATATGTATGTACAATATTCATAATAATTTTACTTAAATTTTATTTAATTGTAAACGTTGACAGTGTATGTTTATTAAATCATTAAACAAATGCCATATTATTTTTAACAGAAAACATTTTATGAAAATTCGAAGCGATTAAATATATTTAATGAATTCAAAAACAAAACTTACGCCCGTGAAAGTTACCGCATACAATGGTAGATCCCTCGCGACTGGTAAAACCCAAAATTAATGGTACTTTAGCCCCGCGACTCATGAATGTTTTTGGATTTTCCGGGAAAAATGGATTCGATGATTCGTGATCCACCGTGGGTGTAAATATCAAGCTGTACGCTTGACGTTCCTGTGGGAAAAATATGATTAAAGAAAGTATTTTATTTGCACAATTTCTAGTCTGTATAGTGCATAATCTACTGCACTCGTAAAATTACAATCAAATGTTCAGGTAATTACTGCTTCTGTCAGGAGATGTTTCTGTTCCGTCTCTCTGAGCTTTTTGGCATCGATTGTTTTAAGAAACTCGTAAGCGATTTTTGGATCTGCGGTCGCTTTTCCGAGTTTCTCCGCGAGCCGAAATCCTTTGTTCATTGAATGTGGTTCTCTTTCAGTAAAGGCCCAAGGACATCTTACGACTCCACTTTGTGCTATTGCTTTATGAAATAAACCTGTAAAACAATTGTAAACAAATTATTTCTTTACAGTTTGTTAACATAAAATCTTTCTGTCTTCTTCTTTTGTAATTTATAAACAGAGTCTATGCGCGCTTATGTTTATTAATTTCTAAATTTTGTAATAAGTAATTGATTACTGATAATCTCTTTCTCTCTTTCTCTCTCTCTCTCGATAAGTTGTTGTTTTATAAATTTTAACATGTTATTAATATGACTTTATAATAACTTTATTGAAATTTTAATTCAACATTCAAAAACTACAAATAAAAGGTTTTGAAACATATGTCTGATTTGAAATTAATTAAAGGAAAGCACATATTTATTAGCTGTTTAGTAGATTCGGAAATTTTTATTTTTTGATATATAAACATAATAGTATTTGAATATTTCCGTTGTGAGAAATGAAACAGAGCAAATTATGAATAAATTCATTGTTAAGTGGGATTGGATTTGAGGATTTTAAGTTATTGTGTATCAATAAGAAAGTTTATATCGAGAAAATACATTTACCTGTCGCTAACGGAGATAGAGTTAGACAATGTACGATGGCTCCACCAGCACTTTCACCGAAAATAGTAACATTTTCTGGGTCTCCTCCGAACTGTGATATATTTTTCTGGACCCATCGTAACGCCATGACCACATCTTTCATCCCTTGATTACCAGTTGCCACTTTGTCGTACAGATTTAGGAAACCTAGTGTCACATACGTTAATGTACTTTTAGTCAAAATTGATATGCCTTAATTAAAAATATACTATTATTTTATTATATCTAAAGTAATCCGCGCTAGTGTTTGTCTTCAATATTCGGCAAATTTTCTTATATGAAGAAAAAATAAATAAAACATAAACGTTTGTATGAACGTAACCGCGCGCGTATGAACGGAAACGTAAACGCAATATTATGAACATATTGTGAATTTAATTTTCTGTACGAATTATCTGCCTTTTGTAGTTTATATAGAGTCTGTATTTTTGGAATATTTAACAATTTTTTTGACAATGTATGATATGACAAGTGTCAATATCTCCAATTGACTCGTTCAGAATAGAGAAAATTCGAATAGTCACTAAATAAAAACGCCAGACACAAATAGTATGCAACAATGATTATGCATTTTGCATAATCAAGTAACGAGTAACGTACCTAGAACACCTAGTCTATAATTCAAGGTAACCAAAACTACGTCTTTCGGTATGATGTAATCAGGACCGTAAAAGAATGCATCACCGGAACCCAAATAGAAAGCACCGCCGTGTATCCACACCATTACCGCACGCTTCTTCGAAGGTTCGATTTTCGTAGTGTACACATTTAAATAGAGACAATCTTCATCGCCCTCAAATTCGCGTGTAAGAAGATTCATTTGAACAGAGACGTTTCCGAACTTCGAGGCGTCTCTATTACCGAACCATGGTTCTGCTGGTAGCGGATCCTAAAAAGTCCACATATGCACGGTCTGAGTCTTTGTGCCAGAAGAAGCAACCTTTTTCTTACTTAATATTGCCTACTTAATATTCCGAATAGTAATTTTTAAATAAAAGTTATACAAATACATAGGAGTGTATATAATATTATTATACAAATACATAGAAGTGTAAATAATGTATAAGGGTATAAAGATAGAAAGGTAAAGGAGCGAAGAGCTAAGGCTAATTGTATAATAAGTATTAAAATATTAAAAGAAAAAAGATAGAAAG